AGATATAGGCATTCCCTAAACGTTTTTTTCCCCCTGTATCCTGAAGATTCTAGGGAACTACTGGAAGTTTCTGAGCAGGGTAATGACCTGTCCAGATTTTTGCTTTAATTTCAACTCCTCCTGCAATACCCAAAGAGTTGTCCAGACTCTTCTGTAACACCTCTAGTGACAAAAGATTAAATTTACTATGTCCAGAAGCAGTCCATTCCATTCTCAGACAGCTTTAATCATTATCTCTTTCTTCCTTACAGTGAGCTAAAATCTGCTTTGGATGACAGAACAAATCTAATCCCTTTTCCACATGACAGGGTGATGCAATTAACTGGGAGTAAGGTGGGGGAGGGGAGTCCATTTTGAATATTCGGCTTCTTTGAGGCACTAAGAAGGTAGCTTTATGCACATGTCCAGCAAGTAGTTGATATGCAGGTCTGGAGCTCAGTAAAAAGATCAGAGATGTCATTTATAAGAGAGTATTTGAAGCTGTGAAAATCAATGACACTGCCATTTACAGGGCAGAGCTAATGAAAGATATAGAGGAATGATCAGTGAGGTAGGAAAAAAGCCTTTAAAGGAAATTTTGGAAACAAATGTGGTGAGGTGGCTAGACCAATGACAGAGAACCAGTGAGCCACTCACTGAATTGCACAACAAAGAAGTCACTGCTGATCACTGACAGAGCAGACTTTTGCTCCTCTGGGCTACTAAAAGAGAGGCTATTTGAAAAAGTAGCATCAGCAAGTATAGATGACTCCAACATTTCCCAATCTGTGTATTAGTTTCTGAAGATCCAACATTAAGACAGGTTTTTCAAATAAGTGTCCCATGCTCCTATCTTTTGGGGAAAACATTGCCTAGTATAATCTCTCCTGGTGATTAAGAAAATCCTACAGTAAAGAAACATATTTTCCTCTGCTTAATCCTACATTTGCACAATTTACTGAAACACAGAGCTGATTTGTCATACAATATCTATTAACATCCTGAAGAACGAGCAATTCCTAGTATGTAATTTGGCAAATATAGTGAGCAGAAGAGACAACAGTTTAATTATTGCTACCAATGGAGTTTTTCTTTCCTTTTTAAGAATGGAAAAAACTTGTATATGTTTATATGCTGAAGATAGGAACCAGCCTAGAGTGAAAGGCTAGAAACAGGAGTAAAAAGGAAGAGACCAAGCCAGGCTCCAGTAAATTGGTTAACAGAGGACCTCAGCTCACTGCTTTAGCCATAAAACATTATCTCCCTGCAAATCAAAACAACAATGAGATACCATCTTGCTCCAGCACTAGTAGCAAAGTTCAACAAGACAGAAAATAACAAATGCTGGCGAGGTTGTGGAGAGATTGGGACTCTCATACACTGCTGGTGGGACTGTAAAATGGTACAACCATAGTGGAAAGCAGTATGGCGATTCCTTCAAAAGTTGGAAATACAAATACCATTTGACCCAGCCATCCCATTACTAGGTATATACCCTAAAGAAGTGAGAGCCATAACAAGAACAGATATATGCACGCCGATGTTCATCGCAGCACTATTTACAATAGCCAAAACTTGGAAACAACCTAGATGTCCAACAACTGAGGAATGGATAACCAAACTTTGGTACATTCACACAATGGAATACTATGCAACGCTAAAGAATAATGTAGAATCTGCAAAACACCGCATAACGTGGATGAACTTGGAGGACATTATGCTGAGCGAAATAAGTCAGTCACAAAAGGACAAATATTGTATTAGTCCGTTATTGTAAAAGTTAAGGAAATGTTTATATATTGGAGGACATTTTCTTTGTTGGTTACCAGGGGTGGGAGGGAAGGGGAGGGAATGCTGTTAGATAGATAGAGATAAATATTGATTTGGGTGAAGAGAAGGGCAATGTACCAAATGTGAGTGACCAATATGGCAGCATTGAGGATGAGAAAGACAGAGAGAGTTACATGGGCAGTACAAACAACAAATATGAACCCCTTTGTAAATACAATACTGAGTTGTTAATGAAAGCAAACATGGGTATAGGGATGGATAGATGGGTGAACAAGCTAAACAATTATGTATGTCTAAATGGAGAGTGTATCCAAGATCATATACAGGGTTGGCAGACAATGGGCCTCTCGAAGAGTATGAAGGGATGGACACTGGGAGGAGGTAACTATGGGGAGGAAGTGGGAGGGGAGCTGCTGCATTGTAAATTTTGGTCAATGACATGAGACAAAGTATATGTGAACTGCTGTATGAAAAGTGAATTTACTTTGTAAATCTTCACCCAAATCCTAATAAAAAAAAAAACATTATCTCCCTTGATGAAATCTAGTGACCACAAATGTTACCTATTCTAGTTTAGAAGAGTTTTATATTCTAATTCTATTTACATTATATACATATATATTATATATTAAATGGTTTATATTTATTTTCCTCAGAGGATACAGAAGTTACCTAGACAAAGTTAAGGGCAGATTACTGAGAAGCCGTTTTAATTCTCCTGGAATCCAGATTTCTGGGTCCATGGAGTTCGAGTGACCCATCCAGGCCATTTGCCCTTAGGTATCCTTTTGAACCTTGAGCCTTTAAGGAACTAGTTTTCCTGGAGTCACCTTCAGGTCAAACTATAGTCTAGTAAGCCGCTTAGTGGAAATCATTCTGCTTTAGGCATTGGGCTCTTACTAAGAATTATATATGTGCAGTCAGTTTAGAGAAGCAGGAACTCCAGGGTGTAAATGGATGCTGTTTTAGGATATATGGAATGTCCTGAATTACTCTGTTTTCACAACTGAGTGACCCTGAAGCCCTGTACATGCTGTGAGAAACCAACATGGAAGGAATTTACAATGACCCTCAGGACACTGCCCTGCCTGTCCCTCACCTATATAACCTGTTTTCACTGTACTCTCTTCTGAGCACCTTTCAGACACATACAGTTGATGCTGCCTGATTCAATTCCTTAGGCCCAGGCCAGAGAAGGGTATTCCAATAGGGAGCTCAATGCCTCTACTCTCCAGGGAGCACTCTAGCACAGGATAGGTGGAGAGGGAAAATCTAAAAATAAAGCTCTCTGAAGAAACCATCTCTCCTAAAGAGCAGCTTCCCACGCACGCACACTGGAGTGCCACATCTGCGGGGGCTAGAAGCATAGGAACGGAACAATCCTGACCAAATCACATAAGAATTACCCTTTCTCAGGGTAAGACAGCACATTTCTAACTCCCCCCAACAGCACTTCAGTGTCTAGGCTGCAGAACTGGGGTACTGATTTAGTGACAGAAGAAGAGTTTATTTTCCAGAAAACTTGAAAGACCACCAGTGACCAATCTAGCCTTCCCACCATTCTCTTCCCTTCAAAGCAGGAGGTAAGCACAGCAAATGTGAAGAAAGCTGCTCCCAACACACAAGCAGGTGAATTGAGGGTTCATTTAGAAAAACACACAAAGGTTCCAGTGGGCTTCTGGCTCAAAGATGGGCTCCACTGGCTCCCTGCAATAGGGGCAGAGACTACCAACTGAGAAAAGAGAAATCAAACATTGTGTGTGTGGGGGAGGAATCAAACTCACTGCCATCCAGTCAATTGCAACTCATAGTGACCCCCTTTGGGCTTCTGAGGTGGTAAATCTTTATGGAAGTAGATTGCCCTCTTCCTTCTGTGAAGTGGCTGGTGGGTTTGAACCACCAACCTTCTGGTTAACAGTCAAATGCCTTAGGCACTAAACCACCAGAAGTCCTTTGTGAAAAGAGATGTAATCAGCATTTACATTGACTCACTATCATCTCACACCCCAAGGACAGAGCAGTTGTCATGTTGCCAGGCAACTAGCAAATATGACCTCCCCTCCCCCAGAAGGTTTCAGAGGCCACTAGCCAAAGCCTGCCAAAGTTCATTCAGCTCAAGAGTTTGATGTAACTCCACACCTAAGCACACTGAGCTACTTCTGGCACAGAGGAGTAAGCCCACACGCCATCTCTTTCTCTAAGGATCTTAACCTTGGAAAGATACAATATCCTGGCACAAGACTGTTGGAATTCTGCCACAAAGCCAAGGCAGAAAGAAGAAAACAAACAAAAAACAACCTCATTGCCATGGAGTTGATTCAGACTCACAGTGACCCTATAAGACAGAGCAGAACTGTCCCATAGGGTTTCCAAGGCTGTAAATCTTTATGAAAGCAGACTGCCACATCCCAGGGAGTGGCTGGCAGATTCAAACTGATGACCTTCTATTTAACCACTGCATCACCAGGGCTCCAGGAAGGAAGAGGAAAACTATACTTAATTCTACAAGGAGTCCATAGTGCTCATGTAGAAATCCAATTCCCCCAAAGGTTTATACTTTGACCTGACAACTATGCCAAGATTCAGAAGCTCAACCCTGGACAATATCTCATAACATGCTTTCAACAGCAACAGGAAGTACACTTGGTGTTATATATCTGCTCCAGTCCCATGAGTCATAGATTATAGCAGACCAGTAGAGAGGAGAGGAGGGGTGAAAACACAGTTAAAAACCCAGAATGCAGCAACCTGTCAGTTTTTTGGTCTCTTAAAAGTTTTGTCACCCTGTACCAGAACACAGAGATAGTTGATATGCTCAGATACAAACCATGATGTCTATTATGCATATGTGAAAGAGGAAGGTGGTGCCAAGCTTTCCCTCAAATCACAGTTTGCAAGCAAAGTACTTTGAACATTCAAGTGCTACTTGAATGCTGACTAGCAATAACCACCCAACAATATTTTACAATTAGAGCAAACTGAAATCTTCTCATACTAAGTCATTCATGAGCAAAGATGAGGAAGCTACCTCACAAAAGGGAGGAGATACTGACCATAAAATACACAACCTGAGCATATAGTAAGAAGTGTTTTTTTGTTTTGTTTTGTTTTGTTTTCAAGTACTGAGAGTACACACTCCCTACCCCATCAGTTAAACAAGAAGGGATGTGTTGGCACAGAGATCCCCTCTTCTTCCAGCACAGAATCTGTTGCTCAGAAATTTGGCTTACCTGACATACAAGGATCTCTTCTCGCTTGTTCGGAGGGACCCAGACCCAGAACTCATGCTGCTGTTCATCATTTGTTCTCGCAAGTCATGTATCTTTGATTCAAAGCGACTGTACTCTGTCAGGGAGACAAAGGAAAGAGGCAAAGAATGAACCCAGCCTGCATGCCAGCAGCCAAAAAGCCAGGGGACACTTGGGTTCAAAGCAGCCAGAGCCAGCCCAGTTGATCTTTGCTTTCATAAGCAGAATTCCTCCTCTAAGCATAGACAGACAGACTTCCCTCCATGCCCAGACTAATAGAAGGAAGAATGCACCTGAAAAAGGAATAATATTTGGGCATGTCGAATGGAAAAAGTTTTTATCTACCCTGAAATCTCACTGATCCTTAAAAAAACAACAATCAGAAAGAGGCTCCAGTTTGGTCTTTAGTAATCTTTAGAGCAGGCACTAAAGCCCCAAGGAGAGCAGATGGAAAAGGAGACTTTCCAAAAATGCAGATTTCAGAGTAACAAACAGATGGCTCTGAGATACAGAGTGAAGAGGCTGGAAAGGACCTTCATTACTTTATTCCTAGGTTAACCAAGAAAACAAACCAAACTCACTGCTGTTGAGTCAATTCCAACTCATAGCAACCCCTCCTTGGGTTTCTGAGGCAGTATCTCTATGGAAATAGATTACCCAGTCATAAAAATTCTTCCTGAGTGACTTTTTTTTTTTAAACGGGGAGACTGAGACCCAGTGCAATGGTAAAAATAAAACAAACAAAAACTAGGAAGCTGTAAGAGGAGATAAAGCTCTGAGTTACCAAAAAAAAAAAAAAACTCACTGCCATTGAGTCTACTCGGACTCATAGTGAAGCCCCTCGTTGGGTTTCCGAGGCAGTATCTCTATAGAAGTAGATTGCCCCATCTTCCTTCCAAGGAGTACCTGGAGGGTTTAGCTCCCTTTAAAGAAACAGCATCTTTGGCCTCAGTACCTATTAAACATTAAGACATAAATTCTCTCAAATGTAGAAGTAGGCTGATCCCTCTTCTCCAAAATCACGTTGTCCACAGGGTCATAAGTCCGTGCCCAGCCTTGTATCCCTTAAGAAAATCACAACAGCCTGAAACAACCTAATCATTCTGGAAATGATCGGTTTATACCCAATTTAAGAAAACTTGATATAGAAAAGTTAACTACAATCATACAAATATACAAGTCTCGTTATAGAGCCACTTTGCTCTGACATTCTCCTTGTGCACTTAAAATCCAACATTCACATTTAACACATATACAAACAATTACACACTATATTTTAGGATTATATTTGTTGCATAAAATGGAATACATCTATAGCACAGGCTGTGGAAATGGAAGAAACAGGAACAATTCATAATGAAAAGTCGATTTTAAAGGAGGAGAAAATCCATTCTTGGGGTTGAAGGTTAAGGAAACTGCTTTAAAATAAAGTTTCCAGGGGAAAATTCCACAAAAGCACTTTCACACACCATAAAGGGCTGGCAAGAAGCATCTTGATCTAGTCTATGTGACTCTACAGGCAGAAAACAAAACACCTGTTCCAACACCTGACACTCCCCCTTCCCTCAGCAAAGCAGACCTTCAGCTGAATATAAAGGTAAATTCTAAAAGCCTAGAGAAGGGAATGGAGTTCTAACTCATACAAACATCCTCTTCTCAACAAATTTTCCTTCTGTTCACTGTGTTATCAATGATGACAAATTTGTGTGCTCCTTCATTCATCACATACTGCTGTTACAGTGATTTGTCCTCATTACCTACTCTCATCCCTGAAATTGTGGTGAAAGTAGTTAAATCACTAATTCACCCATTAAAGTGGGGGGGGCGGGCAGAGAGAGGCAACAGCTGGACAATCTCCCTGTTCTGAAAATTACAAGGCAAAACATCAATATCAATGTGGTATTCAAATCTAAAGGTGGTGACCAATTTGTCACTGAAGCCCTGGACTGCCTGAGAGCACCGTGGCAATGTGTCAGACCTAGACATCAGCTGGGAACTGGCCCAAGCCCAGGGCTTGGCACTCCACCTTGACCCAGGATCTTTTACAGTTTACTCCTCTCTTGTCCTCATCTGAGATGACCAAGAAGAGAACCATGTGAGGCAAAGAGATTTCGGACTAGGCAGCCCTTTCTTGGGGAAGGTAAGTAAAAGGGAGAAATATGCATGAACTCAGAGAAAAAAAAATACATCCAATGTTTTCTGAAACCTTTTCTCCTACAGCAAATAGTTTACATAGCATATTCCCTTCTTTGGAACTGACTTGTCTGCTTAGCAGCAGGTCATGGTAGTTGCTTAGTAACTAACGCAACAAATGCAACACACTGCGGTTGAGTCGGATCCGACTCATAGCGACCCCTCCTTGGGTTTCCAAGGCGGTATCACTATAGAAGTAGATTATCCAACCTTCCTTCCAAGG